ACTATATACTTAGGTAAACTTAATAATAGGTAGACAAACCCATAACACTAGTAATAGAGAAAAACGTTCTCCATAGAAAGAATTAGATTTTTAAGCTTAGTTCTGAAAATAGAAAAAAAAGGAAGGTAGATCAAAGTTTTTCAAAATAACTTTATTCCAAAGATTAGGTGCACGATAATCAATACAAAGCTGATTAAACTTGGTTCGACATAAAACTTGATTTAGCAAATTATTATTTCTCAGTGCATACTTATTGTCTGGTTTCAAAGTAAAAATATTTTTAAAAACGTCATAAGATAAGTTATTTTTCCACATATATGCAAAACATAGAGTATTATATAAATTCACTTCGTAAATATTAAGTATTCTCATTTCGTTAAATAAAGGTTTTGAATGAGCAAAACGATCGGAAAAATTAATAATACGTATTGCGTGATTCTGACGTAAAAAAAGATGTTTCAACTTATTCTTTCCAGCACTTCCCCAAGCAATATTTGCATAATTTATATAATTATGGATAAACGAATGATAGAGTTGGGTCAAGCTTTTTTTATTTAGATAATCTCTAGATTTATATAAAATTCCAATATTTTTAGAAATCTTGGTACATACGTGATCAATATGCTGTTTCCATGTAATGTGCTCATCAAGATAGACTCCTAAAAACTTTATGACAGAGTCCCTCTTAATCTCAATTTGGTTAATAAATATTTTAGGCAGATTTATGGGTAGGTAAAGTTTTTTTTGAAGCGGCTGGAAAATAATCCATTTTGTTTTATTAGGATTAAGAGTTAATTTGTTACACTTGAACCAGCTAGATATTTTTTTAAGTTCGTCATTTATATTACAAAACAGTTTGGAGATGTCAGTATCAGAAAGGAATAGGTTAGTATCATCAGCGAACATAATGCTAAGTAGATTTGAAGCTTTATTTAAGTCATCAATGTAAATCAAGAATAAGAGGGGTCCCAATATAAAGCCTTGAGGAACACCGCAAGATATATCTAAATAAATTTTTTGGCAATCATCCTTACAAGAAACAAATTGTTTACGATTTGATAGGTAGCTTTCAAACCATCTTAAAGTTTTATTTATACCATAATATTTAAGCTTATGCAGTAATATAGTGTGATCTACTGTATCAAAAGCCTTAGATAGGTCAATAAAGATACCTAGTGTGTATTGGGAATTTTCAAAGGATTTTGAAATTTCGCGTACAAATTGAATGATTGCATGTTCCGTGGAGTTGTGCTTTTTAAAGCCAAAATGATTGCTATATTGTAGGTTATTGCATTAAAAATAATCATAGACTCTATTATGCATAATTCTTTCTAATATTTTTGAAAATATAGGTAAGATAGAAATGGGTCGGTAGTTGCTAATAATAGCCCTATCACCTTCTTTAAAAATTGGGGTAATTTTTGCAATTTTTAGTTGTTCAGGAAAAATTCCTTGATTAATTGATGCGCTAAAAACTTTAAAGAGAATATCTTTTAATTGTTCAAAACAGTTTAGAATTATATTACCATTAATGTCATCTGCTCCAGTAGCTTTATTTTTTTCCAGAGTTTTAAATGCTATTTCAAATTCTTCAAATGATAATTTAGAAGACAACTCCCCAGATGTAATGCAATCATTCATCGGTACTAGAAAATCACTAAATATAGCCTGCGTCTTTGGAATCTTATTGGCCAGTTCAGGACCAATTTTAACAAAAAAATTATTAAACTCGCAAGCTATTTCATTTTGTTCATAGATGATTCTGTTATCAACCTTGATGACCTGGGAAAGGAAACCTGAGCAGTCTTTTTGTTTTCCGCTTATTTCTTTTAATATTTCCCATGTACGTTTGGAGTTATTTTTATACTTATCGATTAAGCTTCAGTGTTTTCTGATCATATTGATGTTCTTCAGTGTTTTCTGAACATATTGATGTTCTTCAGTGTTTTCAGAACATATTGATGTTCTTCAGTGTTTTCTGAACATATTGATTGTTCTTCAGTGTTTTCTGAACATATTGATGTTCTTCTGAACATATTGATGTTCTTCAGTGTTTTCTGAACATATTGATGTTCTTCTGAACATATTGATGTTCTTAAGTGCGTACATTTCAGCGTTCTGTTTTTTCAGAACATATTGATGTTCTTCAGTGTTTTCTAAACATATTGATGTTCTTCTGAACATATTGATGTTCTTCTGAACATATTGATGTTCTTCAGTGTTTTCTGAACATATTGATGTTCTTCTGAACATATTGATGTTCTTCTGAACATATTGATATTCTTCAGTGTTTTCTGAACATATTGATGTTCTTCAGTGTTTTCTGAACATATTGATGTTCTTCAGTGTTTTCTGAACATATTGATGTTCTTCAGTGTTTTCTGAACATATTGATGTTCTTCTGAACATATTGATGTTCTCCAGTGTTTTCTGAACATATTGATGTTCTTCTGAACATATTGATGTTCTTCAGTGTTTTCTGAACATATTGATGTTCTTCTGAACATATTGATGTTCTTCAGTGTTTTCTGAACATATTGATGTTCTTCAGTGTTTTCTGAACATATTGATGTTCTTCAGTGTTTTCTGAACATATTGATGTTCTTCTGAATATATTGATGTTCTTCTGAACATATTGATGTTCTTCTGAACATATTGATGTTCTTCTGAACATATTGATGTTCTTCTGAACATATTGATGTTCTTCTGAACATATTGATGTTCTTCAGTGTTTTCTGAACATATTGATGTTCTTCTGAACATATTGATGTTCTTGAGTGCGTACACTTCAGCGTTCTGTTTTTTCAGAACATATTGATGTTCTTCAAATTAATGGGTTTCTTAATAATTTTCTTGGAAGGACAATAACATTAACGGGGGTATTGCTACACCAGCTGCAATGCAACACGATGTTCACCTCTTTTTCTAGATGTTATTTGCCTGACTTGCTTTATTCCTGTTAATGCAACTACACGAGAAGTTTTTTGCACAGTAGTAAAACCTGTCTTATCAAGATTAAAAATTTTAAATTATGTCGCTTTAGACTCCAAGAAATATGTCGCTTTAGACTCCAAGACTTCTTTTAATTTGTTAAAAAAAATTTATTTGTAATGGTATTAAGGGTACTGTTATTACTATATCTTATATCAGACTTTTTATTTAAAATTAAAAAAATCGTATGCATATCTTTTGCTTTCCAAATGCTTTCAAATTATTGATATAAAAAGAATTCTCAACTTGCTCCAAACAAAAATGATGAACCAAAATAAAATTCCACTGAATAAGAACTAAATCTAAAATTAAAAATCGCTTAAACCAATGAATATATTTTTATTTTGAAAACTATAAAAAAAATCTCAGCCAAAATGTTAAGGCGAAGTGGGACAGCTACTTTTTTCTCTGTCCCGCTTCAACCCTATGTATTGCAGATGAAATAAAACTAAAATCACAGTCACGCAAAAAAAGCAAAAATATAAATTTAAGTACTAAATGTTAGCTAACAAGTGTATTTCCTTATAAAATAGACAAATGTTGCAAAAACAGTAAAAAATAAATACATACACGAGTTACTAGATGATTACTACCACGCGCAGGAACGCGAAATGATTATCAACTCATATTAGTATAGTGCTTCTATGATTATCAAGTATGGAGAGAACCCATCAATTTACTAATTATGTATCAAAATGACATACATTTGGCTGTTTGACTTTATCAAATAAACAAAAAAAAAAAAAAATTAAATTGGAACGTATATAAAATGATTTATACAGTGATGACAGTAATAATAATACAGTATTGAATGAAGATGATAATGATAGTGAAAGAAAAGATTGTTTTGAAGATGAACAGAAAGCTAACGATGTTGGTCCGTCATAAGATGAATTTGAAAATGTGTTAAATATTTAAGAAAACATAAAAAATATACGTATAACTATCTGTTTTTTTAGAAAGTCGACAGTTAGAAATCATTTTTTGCAAGAGAAGATCAAAACTTAGCGATGAGAAGGACATTCTTTAGAGATTCAAACATGACGTAAAAACTTAATGGAACTATTTAATTAATATGGTTGAATGCTTTATAGATGCTCTAGAATACATAGCTGAACCTTTCCTTGAGTTGAATAAAATGGATATGCTGGCAAAATACGGTCGAAAATTTATATAACTATTTGCTCAATCAAGCCAACATCTACAGATTATGAGCAATAGTTTTCAATATTTAATTTCTGCACCAAAATTAGATCACAATTATCTGATAAATCGTTAAATGCTTTACTCTTCTATTTTACTACGTAATTTTCATTACACTGTTTAATAAAATGATATCATTTGAATAACTGTATTCCCCACTGCTTTATGGGATAAGGATAATATTTTGTGAAGTAAAGGAATATGCAGTTCATGATTATGAGGTACTGGAACCAAGAAAGTATATTAGGATAAACTAAACTTTGTTATATTCTCAGAACTATTATTATAGCTTGAAGTATTCTTTGAAAGTCAATTAGTTAGTAAACCAAATCAACTAAATGACATATTTAATATTATAAATATTTTAATTTGCAAATTGCGAAATATTAAAATCGTTTATTTCTTAAAAAATACTTTATCCTTCTGGTAATAGCGTAATTATCCAATTAGACTACGGTCAATAGCCACCTCAAATCGCTACGAAACAGGAAAATACCTTGCAAAACAAAATTTTGTTACGTGGTGTAGTTTATTTAAACAAAAAAAACCGTTTTTAACAACGAAACAACTTCCAATCTGTTGCTAATTATTACAAAAGCTGTATTTTAACTTCATTTGTAAATCGTCATTCTGAAGAAATATTTATGTTTTAATAAAAGCAAAAAAGAGAATAAAAAAAGCGCGATTTTTACAAACCATTCCCTTTTTTAAGTTTCGCTAACGCAAGTCCACTCTATTTTTAAGTAATCTTTATGAACGATTCACAACGAATTAGTTAGATTATAAACGTGACAACAAATACAAACTTTTAAATTTTTAGATTTTCTTAAACTTTTTAAAAGAATTTTAAAAACCCGGGAGAATTTCAGTTGGTTAGTTATGCAACAATAATATTAGTCCGATCGGTTTGTATATACATAAATATAGAAAATAGTATCCTGCTACACAAAAATTTAATGATTAATGATATTAAATTTTTGAATATGTTGATAAACAAATTCGACAATTAAAGATACTTCTTCCATCGCACCAATACCTAAAAACAAAACTTTTTAATGAAATTTTTTTATAAAAGTCGCAAATGTGCATAAACGCCAATACAAACTATATTACGTTGAGTTTAGATCTTAAAAAATATATAGTTAATAAAAGCTATAGATGTCAGTATCATGATAAGATTTGAGAATACACAAAACATTCAAAGTTTTGAGAATTTTCCAAATTTACGTTTTGTTATAACAATTTACTAAAACTATTACTTCAGACCTGCAATAAACAGTAACAAACTTCAAACCTGCAATAAACAATAATGAACTTTAAACTTATAATAATACTGTAATACACATTACAACAAAATTTATTACGGACTTACTAAAATAAACATTTTTTTTTTAAATATAAACAATTTTTATTTATTAATACAAAGGATTAATACAAAACATATATTTGTAATTAAGTCTAAATCATAATATACTAACTAGTTGAATAAACCAGTTAATTAAACCAATTAAAAAAATTAATACAATCAATTTAAACTTTAAAAAAGAAATATTTTTGTTGTACAAATAGATTTCGTTAAAATTTTCCTCATCGTTAAAAACAGTGACTAATTTACAGGGCCGATAACACCAAAGGGCTAGGGGGCACGTGCCCTCTTCCTACTTTTTTCGAAGGGACCTTTTTTTTTTTTTTAAGAAAAATCTTGATATAGAGAACTTTTTTCACAAATTGATGATTGTGCCTCCCCCACTTCAAAACCCGTGTCGTCGGCCCTGATTAATTAAGTTTTTTTTATTATTGCACACTTGAGAGAGCTGTAGCTTTTGAAATCAGTACCGTTAAAAGATTATAAAGCGTAAAGCAGCATCAAAGTGTCACAGCTAAAATTTAGCTGTCTAGCAAAAAATATTTCTAAACTATTAAAAATGTCCAAACAACCAAACTCTTAAATATAGTAGAATGTTAATATATCTAGCATTCTGAAATCTAAAAATTGACAGAATCTCTTAAATTTGACAGGATTTTAGAATAGAAAACATCTAGCTTTCTAAGGTCCTTATACTCATGTCCTAATAATATGATAAAACATTATTTAAAAAGAAAATTATCATAATTACCTGTATCGCCACACGCAAGTAACTTGGTAATTGGATATATAAAAAAATAGCCCAGCTGTGTAAGTAAAGCAACATGTTGGCTTGATAAAGGATTTTGCCACATTAAAGTATTCATTGCTGGTGCAACTATAATAGGCTTTTTAAAATCCCATGCGCGACAAATACAAGTCTAAAGTGAATAAGAAAAATAAGTTTATATTTATATATTAAGTTTAAATATTCAACATATAAGTATATGTGCATGATATGTTTGTGGCGATGAGGAAGTATTGTATCAATCTTATTTAATTATTATTAAGCACAAAAAATGTAAATCTTTTAATAAACAAGATAAATTTTTTAATTATTAAAATTATTTTACTAATAAAATAAATATTTCAACAACCATCTTGTTATATTTACTTTTTACCCAGGAAAAAAAGTTCTATAGAATTTTTATAAACATTTGAAACATATGGCCTATAGAATTTCTATAGAATCTCTAATAATTTCTATAGAAATTGCTAAAAAACATTTTTTTTCAATATAAATATATTTTTTTAATATTATTTTAAAAAACATAATATTAAAAATTTATAAAATATATATAAAAAAATTTTAAAATATAGAAAATAAAAATAAAAAATTCTAACCAATAAATTGTCACATAAACCAGTTGCAAGCTTAGCCATTGTATTGGCATCCAGAGGACATATCAGAAAAATATCAGCCCATTTACTTAACTAAATTCAAATATCAATTTAAATATATATTTTGAACACTTTTTTTTATAAAAATATAAAAATAATTTTGCTGTAATAGAATTAGATTCATCATTTATGAGGATTACATAATGATAAATATATTTTAACATAGAACCACAGTAGTAGATTACATAATAAATAAATTTTAACATAAAATTTTACTTTTTTTAAAAAAATTAATGCTTAGTTATTAAAGACATAAGGACATTAAAGATAAATTAAAACAAACTTTATGAAATTTCAATCCCAACATAAATTGTAATTATTTACCAACACTATATCAGGGTGGCCAGGCAATTTTCGATTTTATTTTCCCTGACTTATGCCTGACTGCAATGAAATTTCCCTGACTTACCGATATAAATTTAACAAATGTAGCAATAAAAAGGCAACAAATAAAACACACACAACTTTACACAAATAATCAAAGTTTTTTTAAAAACTGTTTACTTTATATAAGTAAACACTTTGAAACAAAAAAAATAATAAAATAAAGTTAAAAAATGAAAAATAGTTATATAGCATATATAAAATGTAAGATTTTTTGCTTCTAATCGCAATAAAATATAAATATTTTGTTACTGAATCCACCAAAATTCCCTGACTTTTTCATGACTTTTGGAAAATTTAACATATTCTCTGACTTTTCCCTGACTTTTTAGCATAGTTTAGAATTTCCCTGACTTTTCCAGGTTTTCCAGGTTACTGGCCACCCTGCATATGTTTATTACTCTTTTTTTGTTTGTTTTTTGTTGCTTCATTCCGAACCCATTTTTTCATAAGTTTATAAAATCAGCAATAGCTAGTATTACACTAATACAACTAGCAATGTACCAATTAATCAGCATCAGTATAAATGACAAAAAAAATGAATGAGAGACTTTAAAAACAGTAAACTGCATGAATGAGGAAAACATAAAGACAAGACTTTTAAAGTATTGTGTTTGAGGCAAAAAACTAGGTTTATTAAAAGTTTTTGTGCATGGCAGAGCATTTACAGTAAAAGGATGCAACTTGGCTAAATTATGATTCACATGATTTTGAGTTTAGGTAGAACAAGAGTTTTGTGTTGGAACAAATTTAATTTTTAGGTTTAAGCAAGACATGGGTAAGAGATGTAAATCACTTGAGTTGTGACCATAGTAGAAGTTGTGGAAAATAGAAAAAGATAGCAACTTAATGAAAAATGTGATAGAAGCACAAGTTTGAGAACAAAAGCAGGGACAACCACATTTACAATGAGTTTTTGGATTATGTCTAAAAGAGAATAAGCGTAATTAGAAGAACCAAACCGAATAAGACAACAATATTAGGATGAATAAAAGATTTTTAGAGCTATAGAATGGAACAAGGAGTAAGAAAACAAGACCACCATGCTGGTTTTGTCAGAAAAGAGATCACATTCATGATCAGCTAGATATGACAATCAAAGTATTGGTTGTCATATCTAGCCACTTTATGAGTAAGATTGTCAAGTAGACCATTAATATAGATAAGAAACAATACAGAAGTGAAGATGATCCAGTGTTCATTATCCGGCAGGAAACAATGTATCACAGGTTTAAATCTGTCTGCCTACTGATGAAAAAGGAGAAGCAATATTTTTATTATGAGATTATCTCCAGCCTAAACTTAACCAAGAACCCTAAGGCAAGGTGTATTTTAAGTCAGAGTTACAAGGACATCTGCCAGTTTATATTTGATAAATGTTACCATTAGCTGGGTGATCAGGATGTTCTTGATCTCCTAATAAATGTCCAGGATGTTCCAGCTCCTAATAAATGTCCTGCTCCGGCTCCCATATTTTAATAACAAAAATTGCTAATTTTGGAAATTTTTTTGATCACATTTGCCAAATCAAATCCAAACCAATTACAGCAATTCATTTTTAACCAACTTTCATGATTACAGGGTTAATGTATTACTATAATAGCAATACATTACCTATCGTAGTAATAGTATTACTACGATACTACTGCATATTACATTTAAAAAGAAAAATGTCATGGGTAAATATTCTTAGTTTTAATTCTACCCTGAAGGCACGGTACATAAAAAAGACATCTTATGAAAATTCTAAAGACATCTAAAACATTCTAAAGATGTTAAAAACACTCAAAAGACATTTAAAAGATGTCTTTTGTATGTCTCATGCCCACTGGGTAGTATAACTTTTAAGATATGAATAACCTTTGATCATTAAACTGGGCATCAAATATTTTACAGTATAATATCAATATTTTTTTTGTATGTATTTAGGTGCTCCCAGAAGTCCTTACGGTCTTATCATAGAGCACCGCAGGAGAGCATTTAATAGGAAGTTCACGCCTCCTTTCATACCAATGTCGCTTTTTGGGCTGGAGCTGGCGTCGAACCTCGGACCTCTGGGTTCTGAGCCAATACTCTAACCACTGCGCCACGGCTGCTCAAATATACAAATGTAATATAAAGGAATATATGTAATATTGTAAGAATGTTTCCATAAATACTTTACTTGTTTTTGTTTTTTTTGTAATAAAGCATATTATGAAATATTAAAGGATAGTATTTTGTTGAGTACAATATTGTTATATTATTATTTTTTTTATTAGGTGTTGGCAAGACTGTAACTGAAATTCAATAATTTATTCAAAAAATTACATGAATGAATAAAATTTGTCTACAGTAAAAAATACATTTTATTCCTTTAAAAAAACATGAGAACCAAGAGACGCACGATTTTTGCGGCTTCATCAAAAAACAGTGGCTCCTCGGTTCTGGCTCGGCTCCACAAGCCTGATTGGTACCGGACACTTTTTGTTCATCGACATCTGTATCATAAGTGGCCAAAAATGTGCAATTGGTACACCACTAAATACAACCATACTTTTTAGAGATCTAAAAGATTTAGAGACAAATTTTTTGGAAACAAAGCAGATTGCTTTATTTTTTTATATAATCAAACATTTAAGTTCTGAAAAAGATTCAGGTTTATATAAACATTTAAGTTTATGAAATATTTATGTTTTCTGAAAGGTCTAGCCTGGTAGTAATAAGTGACCAGAGTTAAAATTTGACCGAGGCAGCGTTTGTGACAGGGACTACATAAACATTGATATATCCTAAATTATATGTTTTTTTTATTCTAAATTCACGTTATATTTTATATACAGTAGGCAAAAAAATGACACAAAAATTTTTAAAAGTTTTTTCTTTACAACTTATCCATTTACTCATGTTTTTTAAAAATTGTAAAAAGTTTAAATGTACATCAAAAACTTAGTTGTGGATTTGGTAAATAATAGTAAGACCTACAGAGAAGTTAAAAAGCAGACTGGAATCCTTTTTTGAACAGTCAGCAACATTTAAAAAAAGTATAATGTGAATGGGACTACAACTGATATAGCAGGAAAAGGCTGCAAAAGAAAAAAATCTGCTGCCATTGGTAAAAAAGTTATCTTACAAGTCAAGCAAAACAGAATTGAAGCTGCTCAAAAGATTGCAGAAAAAAAACGACCACCAAATCATCATTTCAGCTCTAACGATCCAAAATAAATCCAAAAGCAAAAATTTCATGGTGGAGTATGTCGCAAAATACCCTATTTGACATGAGAGACATGAAAACAAAGATTATTATTTGCAAAAAAGTATGTTGACAAGACTATTGACTAATGAAGAAAAGAAAAAATAATTTGGAGTGATGAATCCAAATTTAACCTTATCTCTTAGGATGGACAACAAAAAGTTTGGCAAAAACAAGAAGAGGCACACAAATTGAGTTGCGAGGAACAATAAAACACAGTGGTGGAAATGTCATGGCGTGGGGATCAATGGCGTGGCAAGGAGCTGGCAAATTGACTTTCATTGAATCAACAATGAACGCCAATTCGTATGTAGACATTTTAAAGCAAAATTTGAAGCCCTCTGTTTGTAAATTTAGATTCGGAAATAACTTTGGCCCCCTGACCTTATTCAGATTGAGCATTTGTGGTACATTCTAGACCATAAAATTAGAGATTGAGCTTACAGAAGACAAAATGGTCTAAAAGCAGCCATAGAAGCATGGGAGAAAATAATTGCAAAAGAAACCAAATCTCTAGTAGAATTGATGTCTCGACATCTGCAAGCAGTTATTCTAGCTAAAGCCCATACTATATATCGTATATACTATATGTCGCCCTACTATAATACTGAAAAATAATTTTTTTGTCTAAATTTGAAAATTTTTCTTGTTTGTGCCTTTTTTTTTTTTTTGCGAGAAAATATTTTATGAAAACATATATTTGACAATTTTTGAATACATATTTCAATATAATACTATTTTCAAATAATTGATAGTAATCATTTTATACCTATTTTCAAATATGCCTATTCAATAAATGCCTATTGAATATATGCCTATTGAATGTATGCATGTATATCTATTTATAAACATCCTCATGATCAACACGATCATCATCCTTTTTATCATCAAACTTTAGCCTTCCCCTTTTATGCAGTTTCTCTAATATAAAAAATCTCAAGCGTTTTTGTTCTTTAACTAAAGCTCATTCATACCATACATCTATCATACCATCATACCATACACTCTATCCAAGTTTTCTTACTTCTACTTCAATCTGAACCTGATACCCAAACCACTTTAATCATCTTTGAGAAATGTTGTATGTTACTATCTTTTTTCTAATCTCTTTCAAGACAATGGCCCTTTTCTTGTCATTTTAGAGTCATACCACATATTTTTCTGATCATCTTCTTTTTCAAGAAATACTGCACCATATAAATACTAAAGTTTATATAAATATATTAAGATATTGTATGCCAGCATCTAAATAAATAGCAAACATATATTTTTACATCCATATTATTTGTGCATCAATGGACCTTTTACCAAACCTCCTGGACCAGGGCAGGTATGGAAGCTTTCATTCCATCAGTTTTAAGTCAATTTGAATCATTCTCATTAAACTCCACATTTTTCACCTACTTGTGCAGTTGTTGGATATTAAACTGTAATCATTTTTTAAAATTTTTTTTACAAGAATATCTCTTTTGAGAACAAATATTTTTTCATTATTTCAAGAAGACAATGCAAAATAGGTCCTGTCTGATGCTTAGCTCCATTATTTTCAGATTACTAAATCTTGTATCTTATCTCAAATGTTTAGTACTGAGATTTTTATGAAAACCTTCAACAGAGTCATAACTTAAGAAAGTTTAACATTTCATCAGTCTATCATTCCATCTCTAATCAATGATTCACAAGTCTTTACAGGTATCATAAATATTTGCAGACATTTTTAAGTCTATGAATTTAAGTAATTGCAACTTTTACTAAATTTTTCTACTTTTTTTTAGACTTTAATTCTTACATAAAAAAAAAAATAATAATAAAAAGTTAAGTTTAACGTGGGATTAGAATAAGTTTTTATCTTAATCCCACATTAAATGGTATGTCGTGGAAGAGACGTTATCAATAAAAGAATTGCAAGTTATTAAATGTTGTTAATGGTATAAAAATATGACTGTTAAACACTTTAAATACAAAAAAATAAGTGAAGGAACAATTTATTTGATAACTAAAAAATATGAAAGTTCTTCAACAACTGAATATTTACATGAAGTGGGTCCCCAGTCAAAGTCTGGCAAAGTTAAAAGACTTTTTATCTTTGTCAAAAATCTTTCAAAAACAAAGAAGGAAAAAGTCAGAGAACAGAAACAAAAAAAATAAGTATTTCACAAAGAACAATGAGTTTATATTTAAAAAATAGGGATTCAATATAGAAAAAAGTAAAAGCACTGTTAATAAGTGAAAAACAACATGCAAAAATTATCACAGCCTCAATAAAGTTAGCAACAAAATCTTTTGTTGGTATTGTTTTGTATAAAAGTTCAGCTCATGAAGATATTAAATACATAAAAAAAATTAAAATATGAACCAAAGGTATTAGTCTGAATTGCAATTTCTAAAGATGATATCTCAGAACTATTTATAGAAGAATCACCTATTTCAATCAATGTTAAGCACTAAATCAATAAATGTTGAAAACCTAAATATTATTCCATTTATTAAATCAATGTATAACAAACAAAAATATATCATTTGGCCAGACTTAGCTAGTGCTCATTATGCAAATGAGATCATTGACTTCATGAATGCTAATAACATCAAATTCGTTCCTAAGAATGATAATCCTTCAAATGTTCTTTAAGCTTTTCCGATTGGAAACTTTTGTTCCTTATAGCATTACTTAATAAGTATTTTTAATTTACAATAACTAAAGTTTATTGCGGTAGTTATAGGTTAAGTAATATAAATACTATTTACATACTAAATATATTAATTTTAAACAAATAATAATTGTTCACAAATAACATAAATTTGTAAAGTTTTATTATGTTTACTAAAAATTTAATCATTATTACAAAAAGAATTTAAATAAAAGAAAACTTTCAACAAACTTATAAATGGTAGTTTTACAGAAATCTATTTTAATTCAAAAATAATTAATAATAACTAACATTGATATGCAATATTGGATCGCCAATGTGTTTCCAGTCCTGAATCAAAGAAAGTCATATAAATAAATTATATTCAACAACAACATAGTGGTTTACATTATTTTATTAGTTATATACTATAACTAATTATCAGTGATAATCACTATTGGGATGATCATTGATAGTCATGATCATCACAATAGTGATAACCATGACTATCAATATTCAAAATTATATAAATATAAATATAAAATGATAGTCATAGATCATGATTACCATATTCATTTAAAAGAAAGTTTATTGTGTTACCTTCCATTCATCAACATCCTTATACCACTCAACTTTTGATGTGGTCTCTTTTAAAACTTTTGTTAGAAAAAACTCCGAATTTTTCGTTAGCACAAGCCTAATGTTAGCCTAAATAAATCTAATAAATTTTTACTTTTAATGAAACTTTAAATACATAATTAACAAGTAGCAACAATAAAAATTATAATAAAACAACATAAATAATCTGAAACACTATGTTTCTTTACAACTCTTATATCAGATATTAAAATCAATTTTACATATATAGAATTGAAACAAAAAGTTACAAAAAAACTAACATTGTTCCACTTTTTTTTCAAACAGTCAACAAGTTCTGGTACTTTTATTGTCGCTACGCTACCAGTACATCCTAGTAAAATATTTAGGCTCATTTGAACAAAAATATTAAGCCCAGCTATCCGAACATTGCTGCATTTTGTTTTGTCCAAAGATTTTGAACGATCCGCTTTATAATGTAGTTTTTTTTTTACTTTTAAAACTTAGTTAGTTAAGGCGATTTACAAAATATTTGAATACTTTTATTTGGAATTAGCATGATTTCGTCAGCATAATATGCCCAAACAAGATCTTTAAATGTTATGATTTTTTTTGCCTAAGGTTTTTATAATATTTGAAAAAACTTTTCTTTTTTATACATAATTTCTAAAGTCTTTAGATCAATTTCGCTCATCGACATTAACATAAATTTAGTTAAAACCTTTTTAAAAAGTTTCTTAATTTACTACTGATCCTAGTTCTAATCGGTTCTGACGTATATTAACTATATATAGTTGTCAAAACACAATATTTCTATCAATTCACAAAAAATAATGGAATTCCGACCAAGAAAGACCTTGTAATTATAAATAATTGCCAATAAACGATCAGAACAGATCATATTGTTAAACTATAATGTTCATTTCACCTAAAAAACGTATTAACATAAAATCTTATTTAAATTTGGACGAGCGATTGTGATTTTAAGATGATTTTAAAAAAAAATCCACGGTCTGGGTTTTTTCAAAAAAATTCCACGGTCTGGGTTTTTTCGCTACAAACATTTATACTTTATGATAGCGAAAAAATTTATTATTTTAATTTCTTTCGTCTTTTCATAATTCACAGACCACACCATTTCACGGAAATATGTCATAATCAACAAAATATCATACAGACGCTATAATATTTCAAAAGTGCCTTAACTACACCGAGTGTAAAAGAATTACATCAAAAAGTAATTTACTTTTCAATGTAAAAAAAATCACATCATAAAGCTGTTTACTTTTACATGTTTAAAAGTTAATTACTTATTAAAATTACATTACATAATAATGTGCATCACCGCCTCTATCTAATGTTAATTTCAAACCTTTCTGTAACAACAGTTAACAGGTCCATAAAAAGATAATTAAAATCCATATCTTTCTTATATCATCAACAAATAGAGCCAATTTTGAGTTTTTCAGGATGATCATTAATGTTGGTTAGAAATGGTAAAAGGCTGAGGATAGAAGTTCACCTTGTTAGTTAAGTATTGATACTAGCATGAATTTGCAGCGTTTAGTGCCACAGGTTCTGTTTGTTTTGTGATTGTGATGTTATTGTTGTGATGTTTTGTGTTAATAGACAACTTGGCTTACCTTCTCGCTGGTGTCTATCGTTAAAAATGATTATTAGGTTGTTTTGTTACTCAAACTCTCTACCTCTAATCATTCACTAAAAGCCAAGAATTTTAGAATAGCACCATTTTTTGAACCAGTTTTAGAATAACACCATTTTTTGTTTTAATGTTGTTTTCACTTTTTTATCTTAGTTGTTGTCAATAGTTCACATAAACAATCTCAAAAAGTAAGTTTTTTATTCTATATTTATTTAGTTTTAATTGTTAATTCATAATTATTTTTTATTTTTAAAACCAATTAATCTGTTTGTTTTAATAATAATTTTATTACAATTTTAGGTTGATTTCTGCTTTTACACCTGCTATTGCTGTTGTAAGTATTCAAAATTTAAGGAAGTTCTATTGCTGTAAGTTATTTTCATTCCAATTTAAATTTTAACTTTATTAAAGAATCTTCCGTCTGTTAAATAGGTAATTCTGAATGATTTAAATATATTTCAATGCCCATACTAATTTACTAATCGGTTTGTAAATTAAGCAATAGTTTTAAACATATGAATTAATTGGATTCCTTTATGCATATTTGCATGGAGTTTTTATAATATAACCCAAATTTTTTCTAAAAAACTAGGTAAATAAGTAAAAACACTTCAGTCTGTAAAATTAACAATTTTTGGATAATTTTGACAGATGCAAAAATATTATGGCATTTAATTTTATTATAGTTTTGTATCCCTATCAAAAATTTCAAGTAAAATGTAATAACAGTTGGAAATTATCAAATATATTTAAAGTCAAATAGGTTTGTGCAATATTGATTTGTCCAATAGGTTGGTGCAACCCTTTTGTAGTAATTTACTGAACGGTCTGTAAATTATGCAATAACTTCAAATTGATGTATTTTACAGATTCCATGATTCCTTTATGCATATTTGCATATTGTAACCTTAATTTTTGTTGTTCATTACACAATTAAATAAGTAAAAACACTTTAGTCTGTAAAATAAATGATTCTGTGTGATCTCAATAGATATAATAAAAACTGGATTACTATTTAAAATTTCAATTCAAATGTAATAACGGTTTAAAAATATCAAACATATTTAAGGTCAATATCCTTAATTGGTGTGTACATCTATTTTTCTGTAATTTACTGACCGGTCTGTAATTTATGCAATAACTTCACTGACATGTCTGTAAATTAAGCAATAGTTTTCAAATGATGTATTTTTTGGATTCCACGATTCCTTTACGCATATTTGCATAGTGCAACCCTAACTTTTTTTCTTAATAACACAATTAAATAAGTAGAAACCTTTCAGTCTGTAAAATAAACAATTCTGGATAATCCCGACAGATTTAATAAAAACTGGATCACTATTTAAAAACTCACTTCAAATGTAATAATGGTGCAAAAATTAAAAAAAAATTACAACCTATTTAAAGTTGATGTGTTTAAATTGTTTGAACAGCCCATTTTCAGCAATTTACTGACCGAACAGTAATTTATGTGATTATTCACTGAGCAGTCTATAAATTATGCAATAATTTTTAAATTGTGTATTTTTTGGATTCCATGATTCCTTTATGCATATTCGCAAGATATAGTTATAATATGACCCAAATTTTTATTCTCAAAAATAAGAAAATAATATAAAACCCTTCAGGCTGTAAAATAGATGATTCTGGACAATAGCGACACATTTTTTAAAGTAAAATTTTTGTTTTTTATTTTCTTATAGTTTTTTGATCACTATGAAAAATTTTAAGTCAAAAGTAATAACGATTTAAAAGTTATTCAAAAGTCAGTTTGACCGCAAAAATATATAAATTAGTAAAAATCCTAGGTCTGTAAAATAGATAATTCTGGTCAATCCTGACCGATTTTAAAAAAAAAAATTTGGAATTTTATTTCCTTATAATTGGTTGGTCACTATGGAAAGTTTCAAGTTGAATGTATTATCGGTTCAAAAGTTATTCAAAAGTCAGTATGACCCCAAAAACATATAAGTTAGTAAAAACCCTCGGTCTGTAAAATAGATGGTTCTGGTCAATCCCGACAGATTTAAAAAACTTTTTTTTTTGATTTTTACTTTTATATAGTTGATTGATCACTATGGAAAACTCAAGTCAAGTGTATTATCGGTTCAAAAGTTAATCAAATGTCAATAATACTATCATTTTCGGTGCCATTTCGCCGCAAATTTCCCATACTTAAGCCCTATACTTTTTGTCAAAAAATCACCAATTTTTTCACTACAAAAAGTTTAATAACTTTTGATCCACTTAACTTCAAAGATCGAATGACCCCTCATTTTTCAAGTCAAACCAAGCTTTATACAATGACATCAATTATATATGAATATTTAAATTATAAAAAAATCGTGTGGACATGCTATATTTATTTTCCGTATTTTGCATAGTAATATCTGAATGGTAAACAACTTCTTTTAAAGTATAATGACACATATGAGTTTTTTAATGTGTTTATGTAACACTTTATAAAGTGTGAATGTGCGCATGCAACCATCAACATTGCATCGTAAAAAACAAGGTTCAAACAACAGTGTGTTTCTTAAAAGATACAAACGATACAAACGATGCAAACGATAGAAACAGGTGCGTGTTTCTTAAACGATAAGTATAATCATTAGTAGAATGAAAGTGTTTTGTGCACAAGTAACAACTCAGTTGTAAAAAACCCTACAAATATTGTGTAAAATATAAAAATAATGCTACACTAATGCATTTATTTAATCATCATAATTTATAACAAACTAAAAAAATATTTTTAATAAGAAATAAAAAATATATTCTGCGCTCCATATTTTATGGCTAGCGGTAATTGCCGGCAATACCGGAAAATAATTCTGAGATTAATTGCCGGCAGTGCGTGTAAAGAAGCTATTTGAATGTAATAAATACAGTAATTTGGTTAGTTTGTTAGTTTTGTTGTTAGAAAAACAATTTAAATTATGTATTCATTTATTAGTTATATATTTATTTTATTTAATTTACTTTTGTAAATTTTTTTACGCGAGTATTAAAAAAACGAAGCCTTTTTTTTTAATTATAAACTGCCTGCACAAACCTCTCAGTATCTTTGTACACTCTATACAGGTCTAACCCTATCAAGGTCAGTCGGTGGTATGTACATTTCACTTTGGTCATCCCTGTTCAAGTCAGTCTTTGTATTTAGAATTTGCTGCGCTTATTCCTAAATCAGTCACCTACGGCTATATCAGTTTATGTATGAACACTTTGAGGCACCTGATAAACTTAAATGTAATAAATGGTAATTGTTAATAAACAAAAATTAATAAACACTAATAACGGGTAATACTAATAAAAATTAGTAATGTTTGAAATAAAACATTAATTTTCACGAAAAAAGAAAATTTACCTAGCAGTATCGAACTTGGGTTCGATACTGCTAGCGATCTTTTTTTTCGTAAACGGTTGCTCCTGATTTCCCATTTTCGCTAAAAATAAATTTTGAACTATCTAAACAATTTTAAAACAGAATAAACTTAGTTATTTTTGATATCAATTTTGATATCAAAATTTGATATCAAAATTTGATATCAATTTTGATATCAATTTTGATATCAAACCTATATCTTGATATCAAATAAAAACAGAATAAACTTAGACATCTGGGATTCACATGGGATACTAAACATTCAGTTTTTGCTTCACTCGGTTATTCAAATGTTGATGAAAAAATATCAAACTTTAGAGCTGTTGTTCAAACTCTTATTCAATCTGGAATCCGGTTTGCCCACCCCAGTTCTATTTCCTATATATATAAATCATTGGCAGTCCCCACCTTAACTTATGGTATGGAGCTATGTGAAAATAATCCTGGTCTGATGAAAAAGCTAGATATAATTGGAAGGAGTGCGCTAAAATCGTTTTTAAATGTTTCAAAACATAGTAAAAACTAAATGAATTCGTTATTTAAAATCCAGGAAATTTCAAAAAGTGTTCAACAAAATAAGTTAAACTTGTTCCTCGACTTCTTAATATCAAAACAACTGCAGACATTATCTTTTCACAACTGCAACACCCGTTATTTCAACATTCGTTTGTTAGTGATATTCATCTTCAGATATTAAATTTTTAAAACCTAATTCAAAATAAAAAGAAGGTAAAAATACCACTTTCTAAAAGTAAAATTCCTTCCGAAGTTGAACGAAACTTGAAGTATGCAATAGAGTGCTGGAATGCAAAAGAGCAAAGAGGAGTTTTCAAGCAAATTCTGGAAGAAAACGTTTTTAAGCAAAGTCATCCGATATAACTTTCTTATTTTTTTCTTTTTACCTTGTAAATTGGGTGTTAAATAAATAAAATAATAATTTGAAAAATTATAAACAACCGCTATATCGGTTAAACACGCACGTGCGTTTTGACAATTTTTTTTTGGTAAGTACATGATTCCATAGCGTAAAGTTAGGTCCCGTAAAATGTTCCGCAATTGTCCCGCTTCACGTCCAGGACAGAGTTAACATAATTAATTTTTGCATTTATAATTTAATTTATGAAATAATTAATATTCTTCACGTTTTCACCTGGCTATCGTCGAAGGTTAAATTTAAATTGGTAAAAAAATTATTATTATTATAGATAATAATAATTTAAATTTATTAGAAAAAAAAACATTGAGTAGAGGTTATACAAGACATTTTAACTTTTTTAGACAAAATATTTTAAATTTTGAATATAAAAAGCTTAAGTTGATGTTTGTTTTACTACTCGTTTAAAAACATTTCTCAGGAATGACATCCCTGAGAAATTTAAAAATTTAAAAACATTCCGAATGTTTTTAAACGAGTTATATAATATAAGCTTTTTATATTCATAATTTAAAATATTTTGTCTAAAAAGGAATTTCCTCTACAAGCACGCTTTAAATGAAGTATCAATTTCCACGTTTGTATGGTTGTTACTGTTTAAATTTTTTTAGTTGTTATTTCTCAAGATGGAAGTTGGGTTACTGTAGAAACATACGTTGAAGTACTTTTTTTGATACATAGCTACGAAACAGAGGCTGTATTAAAGTTTTCATGCTTTAGTGGCACTATAGCATGATTCATGCTATAGTGTATCAAAGTTTTCATGCCATGAAAACTTTGATACAGCCTCTGTTTCGTAGCTATGTATCAAAAAAAGTACTTCAACGTATGTTTCTACAGTAACCCAACTTCCTTCTTTCTTTTCCTTTAGCAGCACTATTAGTGCTGCTAAAAACTGGAAATATGGTATGACAATTTTAAATAAGTGTTTTTAAAATGCAATTGCTAAATTTTAATTTTCTTTTATATTTGTATAGTTATTATTAAAAATTTTTGTTGTTGTTGTTATCTTTAAAGATTCTTCTGCAAAACACCACAAAATAAGATGATTCAATATCATTTAATGGTACTCCCTTTATGATTTTAGGATGTAAAGTGCTTGATTGTATGCACGGGAATGATAGAAAAGCCTCTTCTAAAGAATTTTATAAAATTCATTTATTATTATAATATGTTTTTCTTTTTCAATTTGTTTCTAAAGTAGCTCCTGTATTTAATGATTATATGTCTAAACCTTTTATTTTTATTCTTTTTTCTAATTTTCTTAATAGGTATCAGATCACAGTTTATCAAAAAGCTATTTGCTATATTTAAATTTCTTGGTCACCAAGAAATTTAACTGTAGTTTTCAAATAAAAATTTAGAAAATTTAAAAGTTCCCAAGTTTTAAGGTTTCATTTCATTGTTTGTTTAATTTATATTATTGAAATGAGATTTAAGTCAGTCCTATATTAACTATTCAAGACATACATGCATCAACTTAAAATATAACCAATTAATTTATGCTAATTCTTTTTAAAATAAACTTTGTTTTAGATTGCTGAGGATACTAAATTTAGAAGAGTGCGATTCTCAAACCGTATTAAAGATGCTTTGTCAAGAATAAAGTAGTAAGGGAAAGAGTGTTTCCAGTTTGCTTTCCTTCAAAAAGTTCTCATACTGGTCATTTTACTAGAGATGTAAGATTTCTTTTTTCTTTTTTGTGTAGATAAAGTTAAACAATAGATTTTAAAAGAAAAAAAACATTAAAGAGTTATCCAAATTAATTTTCATTTCTTGTTTGCCTGTTTTAAACATCTTAAAGTTAGTTTATTATTTCAAACATGTTATTGAACTTGTTTTGTCATATAACATTTATTAAATTTTAACATTTATATTAATATGTTTCCATTTATTTAAACCAACAATAAGGTTGTAGTAAATCTTAATTGCTATTTTTATTGCTGTTGTTTAGGAACTTTAGATTTAATATTGTTTAAAATATGTATAAACTTTCTTGTGTTCAGTATATATAGTATATCATATTTAGTATCTTGATCCAGATTACTTAAGGCCTTAAATTTAAATGCCTTCTCCTACTGATGGTTTTGTTATATACTCGGTATGTTCTTGTACTATTCCTAATATATGTAATATTGTTCATACAAACTTCAATTTTTCACCAGGGGTGGGTTTTGTCACTCACCAAGGAGATGGCTAAAATGGTTTTTAAAAAAAAAGGTCCGCATTTTTTCACTTAAAAGTGACTTTCTTTAACTTTTTGTACTTTAATGTAATAATCAAGTTCATATATGTATAATTACCTATAATAGTCAATTACCTATAATAGTCAATCCTAATGGGGGGGGGGGGCGGGGCAACTACCCCCATGCCCACTATAAAACTCGCCACTGATTTTCACAGTCTGCTGAAGCTATTAAGTGTATCAATGAAGAGAACTGATCTATCAATCATTTTTACCAGCAATCAATAAAATATCTCATTGGAAGTAGGAAGAAGGAAGCTTGTACTATTGTAAAATAAAATGATATCTGTTTCTGTAGCATTATATATATTAAAGTGTACTTTATTTTAGATCAAATTGCATGATTTCACATTTATCTTTATTAAAACTGATTAGCCTTTTTTTTTTTCCAGTTAAATAAGATGTCAAGATCAAACTGTGTAGAGTGATTTATTTATTTTTTTTCTAATTGAGTTATTTTCTAAATTTTCAAAATATTTTCTAAATTTTCAAAATATTTTCAAAAATTTCAAATACTTCTTGGAATATGCATCTTAAATATGGAATTCATATTTTAATAAAGATATAAATTTTATCGAAAAAGTCCAACAAAAAGCCGCAAAAATTGGCTACAAAAGAAAGGGAGCAAGTTACGAGCAAAGATTAAAAGAAATGGGCTTACAAAATCTATCAAATAGAAGAGAAAACAGCGATCTCATTAAAATGTTTGAACTTATAAACAACCATGATATTATCAATTAGAACTGCGTTCCACAAGTATTGGGTAGGCTTACAGAGGCCACAATCAAAGGTCGAGAAGACATTTTGTTAAAAACTTTTTGTTGAGACCAATTTTTTTACAAACCATATACAGTGGGTTGCCAAATTATTTGGGACACTTCACTTTTTAAGTAATTTTAAAGTTTAAATGATTTTTGCAAGCAAATAATTTTTTTTAAATAAAAAGTTTTGAGTGTATTTTAGTCACTAATATAACTATAGTTGTTTTTAAACTGTGGCAATTTGTGATAACCTGATCTGTCAAAAAGTTAGGTTATTACTCAATTAGCTGTCAATTTTTGAAAAGTGTGGTTGAAAGTCAAAAATTCAAAATTGATTTCAGTTACTTATTTTTGGAACAATTTTTTGCAAGTTTTTTGAGTTTAAAACTATTGAAACCTAAATATTCGTTAATAGTTCAATTAGTTTAGTTATTAATTTAGTATTTTTTCTACTTTTAATGCATAAATCCCTGACATACAACTATTCTTACCTCTCGTTAATTTTTTTAGTCTCCAGACTTAACCCAAAAAAAAAACAGAAAAGTAAAAACCTTACTTCTTCATTCTACACATTCTCAGAGAGAGGTTGCAAGCGTTTCAAAGTCAGTAGTGAGTCGAATTTAAAAAAAAAATGGTACAAATGTGACTCTAGAACCAGACCATGTCAGCAAAAGTGGCAGTAAAGGATCACTACTCCATGTTATGACCGTAAATTTAAAGACATCTGTCTTAAAAACAGAAAAAAAAGTGTGGCTCAACTAGCTATAATTATAAACAATGAAGGAATTAACGTCTCCAAAAGGACGGTTCAGGGACGGTTGGTTGAAGAGAATTTAGTGTGCTATCGTCCAACCTAAAAAAGAATGTTTAACTGAAGCCATGAAAAAAAAGGGACTGGAATGGGCTAGAAAACACCAGAATTTGACTATTGAAGACTGGAGTAGAGTAAATATAATTTATAATATTGTAAGAAACCAGCAAAATTTAAGGATAAATATTTATTTTTGAAATATCTTTGATATATTTTGCAGGTCAAATATCTTTAAAATATTTTACAGGTCTGCTTCTTGGGCCAATCAGCATTTCAAATTTTGATGGACAAAAGCTCATTTGTTCGACGATGCCCAGAAAAAAATTTCACTAGGACTGCCTTTTGGAAAAGGTTCAACATCCTGTGAGTGTAGGGGTGTGGTCTGTGATCTCAGCCAAGGGTATGGGCTGCCTTAACATTGTGGAAGGAACCATGAAGCAGGATTGGTCCTGCCATATGGTTCCTTCTTACAAGCGATTACTGGAAAACAGGCTCCTGCTCCAGGTCTAAGAATGGTTCCCTGGTAATGAAGAGTATATGTTCATGCATGACTCTGCACCGTCCCATAAAGCTAGAAGTGTTACAGCATTTCTAACTGAAAAAAAAGTGCATGTTTTGCCATGGCCAGGGAATTCACCTGATATTAACCCTATAGAAAATTTATGACAGTTCATAAAACAGAAAATTGCCAAAAAAAAATTATCACTACCAAGCAGCAATTGATAGAAACCCTTATAAGAGAGTGGAATAGCAACCTCAGTCTCCAACACAATGCAGAAGTCTACATAGATAGCATGCCCAGATGCCTGAAAGCTGTTATTGTAGCTAATGGTGGCATTACAAAATATTAAGATTATTACCTTATTTGTCATGTTTTCAAACTTTTTATAAAAAAATAAATAGCAATGAATAAGTAATAATGTTGTTTTATATTCTAAATAAAACTCTCTACCAATAAAAACAATTAAAAAAATAACAATAAGATACATATTTATTCATTAAAGTAGTTTGTACTTTAAAATTACTTAAAAAGTAAAGTGTCTCTAATAATTTGGCAACCCGCTGTAGTTAAAAAGTGTAATTGTTTGCATAGAAAAGTTGTCAATGGCATTTCAGTAATTGATTTCAAGAAAAAGTTTAAAGAATTTAGCTTTGATGAATTCGTTGATGATTTTTCAAGATTTTTTTTTTGTATTACTTTGTTGTGATATCTTTCTACCATTAGCATCTATCTACCTTTTGATATCCATCTATCTTTATTTGGTATGTCAGCTTTTATACAATTCTGGCCTTCTTAAAAGTGTTGATAAAATGCAAAGAAGATTAGAGATCATTGCCTTAAAAGAAATATTTCAAAATAATGTGTGTCCAATAAGATCAAATAAAAAGTTTTTCCTATCAAATAAAATTATTTGTATTCATATGCTTTTGGTGTCTAATTATATAAGTTGTACACCAAATAAGTCTTGTGTGTTCTTTTAACAAGTGGCTGCAAATGTTTATAATGTATTTCATTTAGAGTTGACACATTTTTGTTATTTTAAATTTGTTTATAATGTATTTGTTACATTCAGAGTTGACACATTTTTGTTATTTTAAATTTGTTTATAATTTATTTGTTACATTCAGAGTTGACACATTTTTGTTATTTTAAATTTGTTTATAATGTATTTGTTACATTCAGAGTTGACACATTTTTGTTATTTTAAATTTGTTTATAATTTATTTGTTGCATTCAGAGTTGACACATTTTTGTTATTTTAAATTTGTTTATAATTTATTTGTTACATTCAGAGTTGACACATTTTTGTTATTTTAAATTTGTTTATAATGTATTTGTTACATTCAGAGTTAACACATTTTTGTTATTTTAAAGTTCTAATAACTGTTAAGTTATTAGAAAATAAAGAATAGAGTTAAAGAGTTACAATTCGGTTGACACAAGACTTGAAAATTTGTAGGCTGTATAAGTTAGAAAAACATGATTACGGGAGAAAGTTCCAAAGGGTTCAATTAAGGGGAAAAAACTAAACAAATAAAATTTTTTATGGCATACAGGGACAGATACAGTAAAGAGGTGAGACTTTGCTAAATGACGAGTCAAGCAAAAATGAGTTTATGGAACTAGAGGTGAAAGCTTCTTTAAGTAGGGACCATGTTAGTATTTGTAGAATAGAGATGCAACTTGACGACGTTGAAAGAGAGGCTCTAGCTTGACAGATAGAGCAGGTACACAGGTACACTACACAACTACATTTACAATGCATATTTGGACCTTATCTTGAGAAATAAGAGCATCATTGGAAGAACCAGTCTAAATATGACAACATTATTCCAAATAGGGGCAAAAAAGAGGTTAGCAGAGGTAGAAATGAAATCGGGAGTAAGAAAATGGCAAGCACGATAAAAAGAAGCAACTTTAGCAGCTGCTTTTTTTTTTTGCATTTGCATTTAGCAATCAATTGTATTTATGGTTTCCATGAAGGGTCATAAGTGAATGATAATCCGAGAAGAGGACTCAGTGAAGGGCTTGCTATTTATCAATATAGGAATGTCAACAGTATTGCTATTTGTATAATATAGTTATTTGTAGTAAATAACTAAGTTTGGTTGAAGTTAAAATTCACAAGCCATGCAAGCCTCAATCTGTTACAGAGGTTAGATCAGATTCAAGATTGAATTTTTGTCATGGCAGTAGTATAAAGTTAAGTCACCAGCAAATAAAGCCACTTTAGATGTAAGGTTGCCAGGAAGATCACTAATATAGATTAGAAACAAAACAGGATTAAGGATAAAATCTTGAGATACCGCTTAAGTTACTAGATACGAAGAAGAGTGTTGGCATTTAAGGATGACTTTAAATAAGTGGTTCAAATATTTATGATTTTTATAAAAACTGGAGTATATAATTGTATCATCAGCAAATTGAGCAATTAAACCACTTAAGAGGTAAGATTGTCACATAAGATCAATACATTAATATAGAAAAAAACTCCTTTTGGTGTGACCTATATGGACAATATTAGGAGATAACGAGAAAGAGTTTCAAATTAAGGCTTTTTTTAAATTGTTTTTATTGTAGGCTTATTCTCACTCTCTTTTTATTCGTAAGCCCTAATAAAACCTAATGGTCTGTTTTTGAGCACTATCAATGGGAATATTATCACTGTACAAAGTTATTGGCTTTTTTTAAGATACTTATTACTTAAGTATAAAGACGTCCGAAACTTGTGTTGTTGAAAGAATCTTAATGTAAGTAAAGATGTTACTACAAAATGATAACAGTTTATGTGATTAGAAAATTATTTGTTTATTTAGTATAAGGTTTAAGTCTATAATATATTTTTTGAGTTATTGTTTTTTTTAAACTTATTTTCAAATAACTTTAAGTAAATTTTTATGTTATTGTCAGTTATTTATTATTTATATCTAATATAAGTAAGGAATTTTTGTTTTTAAAATGTTATTTTAATTTATGTGTTTTTAAATTCTTTTTACATCAATCAATCTTTTTAAATCAAAATGATTCAGTTTATTTTATATTTCTCTATATCTATATGTATGTTTTCTCTTAAGAAAAATAATTAGGAATAGGAAAATTAAAAAATATTCTTTATATATTTATATTTTATATAACATTAAAAAAGTATATTGTGTTTTATAGTTAGTATATATGTTTATAATGTTGTTTCCTTGATTTCAAAGTGCTGTGACTTGGCAAACTTGTAGATACTTGTAGAAACTTGCAATATTTGTCAACCTTACCATTCAAGCAATGTTACTGCTTTAGGTCTAAGTTTTGTCTAGCCTTTAATATAGCTATACTAAAAAATACATAACATTATCTTTGATAATTTTTTGCTTAATGTTGTCACCTTTGGCTTATCTTTATGTTGGTGTCTGTTGTTTAAAAATGATTAATAGGTAGTTTCATTACTAGGACTCACTGCTTTTATTTATTTACTAAAAGTCATTCAAGACATCATTTCGCTATAAATACATTTTGTTTATCATGAAATAAAAATATTTAACAACTACAATTCAGGTATCACAACAGCTTATCTCTATCAGGTACATTGATTTTCAAATCACGTATTTACTTATTCGTTACATTTTTTAACTTCAGATTTATCATATGGTGTATTTATTTGTTATAGAAGAACAAATCATTATAAATTTTTATGAATTTTTTAAAAATATCTGCTGGTAATTAGTCCAGTCAACATTTAAAGTTCAATGTTGCATATACCTTTTTTAAGTAGTTTCTAGGCTTTTTTAAATGCTTTTCTTATTCAAGTGGTTTTACAAGCAAGGTCTGCAAGTAAATTAGAGCTGAAAAGTTTTTCAGCTTTCAAGGAGAATTAATCTGTTTAATTTAATTTGTTTAAATAGGGTAGTTTAAAAAAAATAAATGTTTGTTTTTCGTTTTTTACTTTTTCGGATTCTTAAGAACTAGGCAACTTAGAGAAGCAAGATTTGTTCTTTTTTTTAGTACAATTAGAAAGAGCTGAAGTGCTTTTTAGTCACTTCAAATCAATTGTTTGTTTGTTTTTTAAATAGAAGGATTAATAATAATAAAAATTTTTAGACAGTTGAACTGTTACTGATTTGAGTAAGTTTAATACTTTGTTTTATTTTTTATTGAATTTATTTTATATTAGATATATTTTATGTATTTAACATGGAAAGCTGACTGTAATTTGTTTGACAGGTAAGTTTATATACATAAATGTGCCTATATTTCAGTATATTTTATATTTCTCTATCTATATAAATATTATCTTAAATAAAAAAGAAAAAAAAAAAAATTTGAATATATATATATATATATATATATATATATATATATATATATATATATATATATATACATACATACATACATACATACATACATACATACATACATTACTTTAGACTGACATTGCTTCTTTTTTTAAAAAAGGTTCTGCATTTATTATTTTTGTGCATTAAGATTGTGTCTGAAGGTAAAAATAACTTTGTGCATTGTAGTCTAAATTCTTTGTTAAATTAAAAATAATGTAAAAAAATTTTGTTTTATATTTTTAATGAACAACTTCTTTATATAAACTTATAAAAATATATGAATATCAATAAATCTTAATTTAAAATAAAAGTCTTTGATTAGAAAAGATCACAATTTGTAAAATTATTTTACGTTCATTTATTCATTTGTAACAGTAGTATAATCACTGGTAATGTGTTTAATGATAACAGATGTATAATATAAGGCTCGAAGATGTTTTTAGTGTAAATGGTAATAGGTGACTTGAAAAATTGTTGTCAAATAAAAGAAATAGATTTAGGCCTGATAAAATTAATTGTCGTTGAAATGTAAGAAATTCTGCTCGATGAACAGAAAACTTACTTGCCAGAATTCATTGTCAAGCGGTGTTGATGTCTATTAATTTGATTTTACATTAGACACTTTAGAATAAAGCAAGGTATGAGTTTTACTATTTATAGTAACAATTAATAACAGTTTCAATTTTAAATGATTTTAATTTTTTTTTTTTTTTTTTTTTTTTCAAACATAATTTTGTTCTTTTTTTTTTAGTTGCCTTTATCATCACTTGATTATTTTGCTTACTATTGAAACATGGTTTTAATTTTGTAAATTTAATATGATGTGAAATTTACTTTATTAATCATTAGTCAATAGTTAGAGAGAAGCTGAATCTTAATTAAGCAATGCTGGAAAATAACTTTTAATTCAGGTAAAAATAATTTTATTTATTGGTAGCATAAAATCAGTTACTGTTTTTTATTGCATATCTTTTTTACTTTTTTTAACATGCTGCTTTTGAAACACTTCCTCTCTCTCTTAGATGAGACTTAAATGACAGTAAGTACAGGGAGAATTGATAAAACTCGTGTAATTACTGAGCTCTTGCGCATTTTTCAATACTACAATTGATAATGACCATTTATAAGATATATTTTACGAGTTGCTATTTAAAGATACAATTCTTTAAATTGTTCAACTATAGTTGTCCCTTGGTTGTTCAAATATTTTAATAAAGAAAATCTTTTTAGTTTCAAGTATTTTACTTAAGGGATTGTCCATATATTACATAATGCGAAATTAAACTTATAGACAAAAGATATATCTCAAAAATCGTGTTTCTCTCATAGCCAACTATAGTTGCATGTTCAAAAACTTTGCATAGCCAACTATATTTGCATAGCCAACTTATTTGCATAGCCAACTATAGTTGCATGTTCAAAAACGTTTTTTTTCACAATTGTTAAACATCCTATCAAGGTAAAAAGTGAACACAAATAGTGTTTACTTTCTATTGTTCTTAATTAATTATCTTTAGATTTTTATTTCGAAAATTTACTGTTAAAGGTTGTGAGCATGTGTAACTTTATTTATTTTTTTTTTTTTCCCATAGTTTTTGATAAATATATCTGTCATTTAATATTAAATGTGCTTATATGTCTTATATAAAGTCATATTTGTTTATAGCTGTATATATGTTTATATTGAGTTGTTTCTATGTTTTCAAAGTGGTGTGGCTTGGTATTATGTTGAGCAAGTTTGATAACCTTGCCAGCCTAGAGGTGTACTTATAGCAGAGGTGTGACTTAGCAGCATTTAATGCTAGGCAGTGTTACTGCTTTAGAGCTAGGTTGTGTTGTCTAGCCTTTTTAAATTATTCTGAAAACACATAATAATGTCTGTTAATGTTTAGCGTAATGTGTATGAGAGAGTATGCAACCTAAATCTTTAAATCTAGCGTGCTTTAATGTCCTAAATTTGAAATAATTGAATAACTAATGTTGAATATAAAAACAAATATACCTTATTTAAAGTTTAATAAAAAGATAAATATAACTCTATAATATTTTTTTAATTTTGCCTTTTATATTTTGATTTAGTTATTTTCACTGGATTTTATTGCTATGTGTTATTGCTGTAATGTTACTGTTGTGATGTTTTGTGTTGATAGACAGCTTGGCTTACTTTCCCGTTGGCGTCTATTGTTAAAAATGAATCATAGGTAGTTTCATTATTGGAATTTACTGGTTTTATTTATTTACTAAAAACAAAGACAACATTTTGCTAAAAGTGCAATTTAAATCTTAGTTTGATTTTTTTTTTTGTTAATCCTTTTGTACTTCAAAACAGATTTTATAGTTACATTTTTGATAAAAGTTTATATTAACTGCAATTAAAGTAACTATTAATAGGTAAATCAATTTTCAATTTTTATGAAATCGATTTACCAATTTATAGTTACTTATTTTGAAATTTGGTGTTTTTTTTGTAATTCCATTACTTTTTATTTTAGATTTACGTTATGACACATTTATAAGATTTATAAAAAAAACCTGATTTCCTTTTGTAACGGGTGGTTACTAAAAATCCGGACAAACTTTAACTGAATTTTAAATGCCACAAGCTAAATCTTTTTTATTTATGTTTATATCCATTTTATAGCTTATTTAATTCTCTATAAATTAATTTTTTTTTTTTAGATAATTATAATTAAAAAAATAATGATGACCAAGCAAGAAGAGGTAAGAAAACGGATTTACGAGTTCTATTTGATTAATAAATTGCAAGGTAAAAAGTTCACAGTAGCTCACTTCAATGCTGAAAAAATCCCAAGAAGCACTATCTATGATATAATCAAACGTGTTGAGAATGATTCTGGGCACAAAAGAGTGCAAGGAAGTGGTCGTGTGGCCAAAATCATGACCCCTAAGAGGATCAAGCGCCTGAAAGCCATATTTGATAGCAGTGACCGAGTTTCGATGAGGCAAGCTGGTCGAAAATTTGGATGCAGTCATTCACATATCATTAAAACTCTTGCCAAGTACACTGACATCAAAGGTTATACAAAACAGGGTATACCTCATCGACAAGAGAACCAGAATGAGCGAATCAAAACTGGCATTTATCGTCTTTATCGCGTTTTTAAAGGAAAATCGGTCATCCTTGACGATGAGTCTTACTTCACGCTGTCACACTCAACAATTAATGGAAACAGCACCTACAACTCTAGCAACAGAGACAAGACTCCACCAAGTGTTAAATATCGCAAAAAGCGCAAGTTCGAACCCAAGGTGCTTGTCTGGCTGGCCGCTTCTGACAAAGGTGTTTCAAAACCATTTTTTATACCCAGCGGCCTTGCAATCAATAAAGCCATCTATGAAATGAATTGTATAAGGAAAAGATTAGTGCCGTTCATCAACGCTTATCATGCCGATGGTAATTACATATTTTGGCCGGACCTGGCTTCATCGCTTTATGCCAAAACCGTGACCAGCTGCTACGAGACTCATAACATCACTTTTATCAAAAAAGTTGACAATCCGCCAGCCGTACCGGCGTATCGCCCAATCGAAGACTTTTGGGCTATTTTGAAAGGCAAAGTGTATGAGAGTAACTGGCAAGCAAAAGACGTGAAACATCTACGAACCAGAATAAAGATTTGCCTGAAAAAAATTGACCTTAACCTTGTATTTTCACTTTTTGGGTCAACTCGTGTTAGAGTTGGCCGAATCCGAAGAAACAGACTGGTTGAAGACAAACTTAATTAAAATAAATAAATAACTAAAAACTCTTTTTAATGATAGTTTTATTTAATCTCTACCATAAAAACTTTGGGAGTAATTGCACTTGAAAGTTTGTCCGGATTTTTAGTAACCACCCGTTAAGTTTTTGTTAGGTAAAAAGATATATTTATATATATGCAATTAGTTCACTTTTTTGTTTTTTAATTTTAATTAAAGTACAACAAATTATTAAAGCCTAATAATTTGTTGTACGTGTCTTAGGGGATCTTTGTAAAGGGGGGGGGGGGGTAACTAAAAACTTTTAAAAACATGGAGAATACTGTAGTTTTGCGTATTTGTCAAATATTGATTTACTTATGTTTTATTTACATATTTAATTAATTAGTTAGCTTAGTCTGCATTTGCAACACTTTTGAGGAAAGAATAATTGTAAATAAAAATGTAAATCAGTGTTTTACATTTTTATTATTTTAGTTAAAGAAAAACTTGATTACTCTTAATAAAAAAAAACCTACTCACCAGGTCACCATTAAAGCAAAAAGAGGGGAGGAACCTCTTTACTTGTGTTAAAATATTTAGGAAATTAAATTTTGAGTAACAAAAGGAATTTTTAGTAAATAATAGCAAATGACCGTTTACTAAAAATTAGTGAAATAAACAGGCCAAACAAATAATTTAAAAATGGTTTATGTTGAACAGACTTAACAAGACCCGGGTCCGGTCATAGTAGGTATTACTAGTGACTTTCCCATGGACTGAATATATAGTTTATACGAGAGATCTGTAGTGAAATATTAAAAAGACGAAGAGAACTTAAGCTGAAAAGGAAGTAGGTAGTATATATACGGCCAGCCAACTTCAAACTTTAGCTGACTACGAACCTCATTAAATTTTACTTAATGACATTTATTTGAATTTATGGACGTTTTAAAAAATTTTTTACTAATCTATGGGCTATGTAAAACAACAATGACATTAATTTTAGTTCAGCTAGTGGCATGTACGCAATCAAAATTTAAAATATTTATTGAATCGCAATCAATATTTGTTATTTATGTGCCCCAAGAAGTCCTAACGGTCTTGTCACAGAGCACCGCGGAAATGGATTTAACCAGGAAGTTTACGCGCCCTACCTTACTGTGACGCGAAATATATTAAAGGCTCATTTCAAACCCAGATCCCCGGCTTATAAAGCAAGCTCTTTAACCACTAATATATAAATATACCTGGTTTATTTGCACCATGAATCAGTATTATTAACCAGGTTGCCAAAATCGGAAACTTAGTTCCATTTAAGTTAAGGGATAAAAAGCGCCTACTTTGTACCTTATTAAAATGTTAAGGCTTGCAACAAAGATTTCTTTAAAAGATGTTAGCAAATGATTTAAAAGTTTTGAAAATTATAAGCTACTTTCAATATTAAAAAAAAAAATTTATGGAATACGATAAAAAGTTGAATTGTGTTATTAGTAACATAATGTTACCAAATAGAAATAGTTAATGTACTAACTTTATCAAATTAAACAATGCATTGGCAAAAATAATGTCGCAATTAAATACGCAAATAATATAAACTTATTTCAAACAATTGTAGGCTAGACTGGGGTAATTCTATCCCCGGGGAAATTCCACCCTCTAAAAAGATATGGAGCAATACAGATAAACTAAAAAAACTTGAACCACTTTTAGCTCATGTTTTTGATTGCCAACTTTCTGTTTCTCACTAAGTATATGCTTCCTGTATCCATACTGATTTAGAAATTTGTTTATGAAACTTTTTTTGGAAATCCAAAATCATCTTCAATCTAAGTACCATATATGTACTTTAAAATACATTTTAAAATGTACTTTTATTAATCATCATTTATTTTTTGGATGTGTTTAATGTGTACAGAGATGATAAAATTTCACAATTTGAACCTTTGCTTGTAAATATCCTTAGGCAACATGTTAATTTAGTAGTATTAATATCTGTATATGGTATTAGATATATAATTATTCATAATTTCAACCAAATAAGACAATTTTAGTCATGGGTCAAATCTCACACCTTTTCATGAAAAACTAGGGAAGCGGCAAATGGAGACGAGAGGAAAGGCCATAAAAAAATAGTGTGGTGAAAGCCTCACTTCAGATAAATGCATTGCTAGGCTCACTAAAGAAAATTAGGCTAAAACCAAGCCGAAAATTGTCTTCATTTCAGTTAAAGGGAAGGGAAAAGACATGAAAAAAACAACAATGAGTGATGCCGCAAACAAACCAATTTTATGCACAATGTGTGGGGTAAATGTGGATGACCCTAAAGTTTGCGATCTAAATGTTATGTATGACCTCCCCGCTAACAAAAAACGTTCAAGTACGTTCGAATTTTTTATGAAAACGTGTAGAAGTTACCCCTATTTTGTTTTATAAAAAAATATTAAAATGTTTTTTTGTTAAAATTTTATATCAACAGTTTGCTTAAATATGTAAATAAAAGGAATTCTTTTACTATTCTCTTGTTTTTTATTTTATATAGTGGTTTTTAAGGATTTTTTAGAAGTAGTGGATGGGTCCAGTATACCCTACCAAGCAACTTTGTTTGATATTATTTTATCCCTTTTGTATTACACTATATGTAACATCTAAAAAAACAAAAATAAAATGTTTAATTTAATTTGATTCACTTACAAGTTAAAAACCTATTTTTAATTGAATATGGTTTGGGACTTTTATTATTACTTGATGTTAGAGCAAAGTAAAGTAAATGCAAATTTTATGCTTTAATATTTAATTTAATATTACATTACTTCCATGTGATTGTGCCCATCAAGACATCAGGGTTGCATACTTCAAAAGAAGCTTTTGAAAAATTGTATTAATTGACCCTTAAGCCTGAGATGAGGGTCAGTTTTATCTGTCCTTTATATGGTTGGCTGATCAGCTTTGAACAAAACATCTTTTGTATCAAAAAACATAAATTAAAACATATTAAAATATAATTAAAACATACTTTTAATAAAATATAAAGCTATATAAAATTATATCTTTGTACAGACTTACATATAAATCAAAACTTACATATATAAAAAATATATATATATATATATATATATTTATATATACATATAAAGGGGTGATTGATTGATCTTCCCTATATTTAAATATATGCATTCAAATTATAGCTTATTTAATAATGTATGTTGTTCTCCTTTCAAATTAAAATTTGTAAAAATAAAACTTTTAAATTACATCATTGGTTACTAGTTTGAGCTTAAAAGCTATAAAAAAAATTGTAAACTAAATGTTTTACATATCTACCTGAACTCATAACTTCAAAAAAAAGTAGAAGATCAACAGATAGTAAGTTTGTTTGGTTTAAAATTTGAACCTTGCTTGACATAAAGTATTGGATCATATCTGCAATTTGTATTTGGAACAGCAATCTATATTAAACA